CCAGTGGTAGATGTTGGGTCAGGTGGCCTCCCCGTGGTAGATGTTGGGTCAGGTGGCCTCCCCGTTGTAGATGTTTGGTTAGGTGGCCTCCCCGTTGTAGATGTTGGGTCAGGTGGCCTCCCCGTGGTAGATGTTGGGTCAGGTGGCCTCCCCGTGGTAGATGTTGGGTCAGGTGGCCTTCTGGTGGTAGATGTTGGGTCAGGTGGCCTTCCCGTGGTAGATGTTGGGTCAGGTGGCCTTCCCGTGGTAGATGTTGGGTCAGGTGGACTTCCCGTGGTAGATGTTGGGCGAGGTGTGCACAAGTCTTTGTCCATACAGTCAACTATACAGCTCTAACTGGATTCAAATGGAATGAAAGCAGACACCCGCTTTTTCAGTGGCCACAAACTTAAAAAGAAAAGGAAGGAACTGGACCAAAACTAGTTTTAAATAAGGAAAAATGCACAAGCAGTCAGAAGAAGAAAGGTGCTAAATTCGGTACGGACGATAATCATGCTCATTGGCTGCATCCTATCAGAGTAAACCCCGTAGGCTCATGGGATCGAAGATGTAAGCTAAGGGTAAATTCCGTTTTAAACTGCTTCCTGCATACAGAACACGTGTGCGGTTTGAGGCCTCTGTGGACCTTCTTATGTCTCAGCAAATTGGATTTACTGCGGAAACCTTTCCCACAGACGGAGCAGGAATATGGCCGATCGCCGGTGTGGATTGTTTGATGGGTCTCGAGGTTTCCTTTTTTAGCAAAGCTCTTCCCGCATTCGGAGCACGAAAACGGCTTCTCCCCGGTATGAGTTTTCTGGTGGGCGATTAGATGGTCTCTCTGAGAAAAACACCTCCCGCAGTCCGAACAGGAATACGGCTTCTCCCCCGTGTGAGTCTTCTTGTGTTTGGTTAGGGCGGAGTTAAAGGAAAAGGATTTCCCACATTCGGAACATGAAAACGGCTTCTCCCCGGTGTGCATCCTCTTGTGTTTCGAGAGTGCCGATTTGGCGGGGAAACCCTTCCCGCATTCAGAGCACGAATACGGCTTCTCCCCGGTGTGAGTTCTCTGGTGCAGAACGACATGTCCTTTCTGGGTAAAGCATTTCCCACACTCTGAGCATGAATAGGGCTTCATGGGAATCAATTCGTGTTCAATGACATATAATTTGCGAGGAAGTTCTTTGTCACTCTCAGGCTTTGTGTGAGAGCTCCTGTGAGAGGTGAGGAGTTCTTTCTTGGAAAAACATTCTCCGCACTCGGAACAACGGAAGGTTTCACCACCTCTGGCTGATGGATGATGGACGATGGGGGCTGAGGGATCGGGAAAACTGTCCCCATGTGTGGAGGGAACTGACGACAGATCACCACTGGGAAGTACTAGGAGGAGAGTCGGGGTAGTGGGGTTTTCTAATAGAAGGTGCTGCTTGTCCGGATCATTCCTGTCCCGTTTTTCATCTGGAGGACATAAAATTGGAGGGGGATAGAAATCATTAAAAGGACAACTAATTTTCACACCCCCTCCCAAAAATAATTTTTCTGGCCTTAGTATTTATTCCTCACCTGTGGTCTCTAGCAGAATTTCCTCTTTAATCCTAACATGTCCTTCTTCATCCTCCTCAGGTTTGACATCTCTCTGAGTGTCTCCGCTGTCCTCGGGGTCTGTGAATAAAGATGAGATTAAAGCCCCTGTACTGAGATGTATGAGAGACCCCAGAGAGTGTGGGTGGGGGGAGACGGGTCACGTCTCTTGGCTGGTAACACACAATGACATGATGTGAGGAGGAGAGCCGGAGTCTAATAGAGGCTGATGGCTCCTGACTCCCCCCACTAGACACATTCCGTCCCCCCATAACTGTCTACTGACAGAGGAGGGGGGAGAAGAAGAGATTGTTGTAGGGACTGAACAAGGAGAATCTGGGACTCTTTTTCTGGATTTAGTATCTATTACTCACCTGTGCTGATCTCCACAGGAACTTCCTCCTCTTTAATAACCACGTGTATATCTCCATCCCCCTCAGCCTTGACGTCTCTCTGAGTATCTCCGGGACCTGTGAATAAAGATGAGAGTGAAGCCCCCGGAGATGTATGAGAGACCCCAAAGAGTGTGTGGGGGAGGAATCTGGAACGATTTCCTGGATTTAGTATCTATTACTCACCTGTGCTGATCTCTGGAATGATTTCCTCCTCTTTACACGGCTCATCAACCGTCACAGACGGCTCTTCTGCTTTCTCCTCGGCTTCCATTCTACAGTCATGGTGGTCTGTAGCCAGCATAACCTACATATAAAAGAGAAAGATTTATTTCACTTGTGTATCATTCTTCTTGAACATAAAAGCTCAAAATTTCATCTTAATACCGTTCTCAGATCTTCCATAACAAATATTTAAGTACTTGTCCAACTGGGGGGAGGAGAATTGGGGAGATCTCTTTACAAAGTTGTTCCACAGTATTTAAAGCTCAAGTACGACGTTGGTCTTGTGAAACACATATAGCGTTCTGCATAGACAGTACCTCATCCCAGTTGGTAATGCAAAATGTACTTCTTTCTAAAGAGATACACTATATAGCCAAAGGTTTGTGAACATTTGACCTTCACAAGTCAAAAGTATGGGGGCACGTCTGGGAAGACCTTGTCTGGGAAGACAATATCAAGCTTTGGGAAGGTCCTTTTCTGTTTCAGCATATTTATAGGCCCCTGTGTGCAAAGCCAACTCCATAAAGACCTGTTTTGATGAGTCTGGTGTTACATAGTATTTGAGGTTGAATAAAGACACAGGTCCATCAAGTTTAACCTTCGGTGTGGAGGAACTCAAGTGGCCCACACAAAGGCCTGACCTCAACCCTACTGAACACCTTTGGAATGATATGGATCACCAGTCGCGAGCCAGATCTTCTCACATTCATCAGTACCTAACCTCACAAGTACTCTTGTTCTTTAATGGGCATGAATTCCCACAGACACATTCCATAGTCATGTTGAAAGTTTTCCCGAAAGAGATGAGGCAGTTATAGTCGTTGCAAAGAAAAGCCAACTCCATAAAGACATGGTTTGAGGAGTCTGGTGTCACATAGTTACATAGAATTTGAGGTTGAATAAAGACACAGGTCCATCAAGTTCAACCTTTGGTGTGGAGGAACTCAAGTGGCCCACACAAAGGCCTGACCTCAACCCTACTGAACACCTTTGGAATGATATGGAACACAAGCCTTGAGCCAGATCTCCTCACCATCATCAGTACCTGACCTCACAAGTACTCGTCTGGTGTTACATAGTATTTGTGGTTGAATGAAGACACAGGTCCATCAAGTTCAACCTTTGGTGTGGAGGAACTCAAGTGACCTACACAAAGGCCTGACCTCAACCCTACTGAACAACTTTGGAATGAAATGGAACACCAGTTGCGAGCCAGCTCTTCTCGCCATCACCAGACCTTAATGGGCATGACTTCCACAGACACATTCCATACTCTTGCTGAAAGCCTCCCCACAAGAGTTGAGGCTGTTATAGTTGTTGAGAAGAGAAGCCAACTCCATAGAAATGGTTCTTAGAATGGGATGTCCAACAAGAGTGATGGCCAGGTGGGCAAAAACGTTTGGTCATAGAGTGTACTTCAAAGGGTTAGGCATGATGTTCCATAGCTGGTGGACCTATACAAAATCACTACACCGATGCCGTTAGAGCTTTAATCTCATACTAAAGCACAACGAAGACCCTTTAGAACCAAACCACAAAAGTTGATCTCATTAACGTTTATGAAAATTAAACCATTCCTGAATCACAGAAGACATCTATTCTCAGAAGCCACATGATAAAGTCTTTTCTCTCTCTACAATACTAATGGGTTGTGATTTGGACACGTCCTTGGGTTAAGCATGTAGGATTTGTTTCCCTTATCTCTCACTTCTTCTACTCATTGTTCTCTGGCAATGGTAATAGGGCATTTGACAATATTTTTGAGGAAAGGCGTTCATAAGTCGTGAGTCGTGGCCGATTATTAATATTCTCTTGCATTCCAAATACCTGGTCATCCTGTGGAATACCGTGATGTTCTGAATCCTGGGAACACAGAGGACTTGGACATCTCTCTGGGGTATTTCTGTTCCTGGATCCATCTGTAGGAAACACACACACTGACTGAATACATTGTTTCTATGTCTTTATATCAGAGGATGTGTGTATCTAGGGGGATCCTCAATACTCAGGAAATGAAAGTCTCCTCTTACCCGGCAACGTGAGCGGCGGAAGGTTCTCCATCATCAGATCCTTGTGTCCTTCTAAACATCGTCCTTCCTACATGGAGAAATAGACAGAGACATCCTGACACCTTATAGGAACCTGACACACACAATGATACAGTCACCACCCAGACACATCCCTTGTCTGTTCCTGGATCATGTCCCAGAATCCCCGGCACCGCTCACCTCTCCCGTCAGCAGCTCCACCATCTCGCTGATGACATCTTGAACCTTCTTGGTCTTTCTCGGGGAGTGAGAGGGAGACTCTATAATGGGGCTTTGGGTCTTCTTTAAGTTGGAGGCGACCAAACCTTTGGATAACTTGAAAGTTATACAACTCTACATAAAAGAAGACACCAGAGTATGTCACCTCCCACAGTACATTATAGGTTTTGAGTGCAAAATTAACAATCACAAGGTCTTTAAAGTCTCCATTAAATGTGTTGACACTTCCAGAATCCTCCTCACCTCTCCGGTCAGGTCTGTGTTTTATTAGTAGCAATAACAGTGATGTCATGTGACCTCCCAGAATCCTCCTCACCTCTCCCATCAAGTCTGTGTTCTATCAATAGCGGTAAGACTGATGTCACGTGACCTCCCAGAATCCTCCTCACCTCTCCGGTCAGCAGCATAGTGATCTCGCTGGTGACTTCCTGGAGCATCTTGTTGCTCTGATTGAGGGAGTGAGATGGAGGCTCTGTGACAGCGCTTTGGCTCTTCATCTCCTTGGAAGCATCCAAACCATCGGATATCTTGAAGGCGATATAATTCTACATGTAAAGCAAAAATATCCAGTTATGTGGCCTGGAAAGTGAACCGAAATAAATATCATTACAATCTTATACACCCATCTGGTCAGGTCTGTGTTTTATGAATAGAGATAAGAGTAATGTCATGTGACCTCCCAGAATCCTCCTCACCTCTCCGGTCAGGTCTGTCTTTTATTAATAGAGATAAGAGTGATGTCATGTGACCTCCCAAAATCCTCCTCACCTCTCCGGTCAGGTCTGTGTTTTATTACTAGAGATTAGAGTGATCTCCATTTCTAGAACCCTCCTCACCTGTGAAAAGCTTTCCATAGAAATAAATGATAAAGCATACAATTTAGGTGTTGATGTTCTCTAAGACGAGAGAGATGTCATCCTGGGGCATGTGCTCGGGGTCAGCGATGTCCTGCACCCGCTCTGTACACTGGGTTGTACATTACTTACTACAATCACTACACTCTATATGCTGGGTTGTAAGTAAAATACTCCTAACCAGTGCCCTCTGTACTCTCAGTTGTATGTTACATACTCCTAATGCACTCTGTACACTGGGCTGTACGTTACATACTCCTAATGCACTCTGTAGGAAAGGGAGATTTTTTAAATGCAACTAATTGAAAAAATAATCGGCCAACTAATCGATTATGAAAATAATTGTTAGCTGCAGCCCTACTTAATACACTCTGTACACTGGGTTCTAAGTTACATACTCCTCACACACCCTATACGATGGGCTGTAGATGACACACTCAGGATAACTGCACTCAGTACATCAGACTTCATGTTACACACTCCTGGCCACTGTACTCTGTATATTAGGATGTATGTTACATACTCGGGTCCCATGTTCTGTACATTACATACAGTGTACCCGGTCTGAACATTTGCTGGTTGGGAAGCTCCTCCTATTGGAGTAGTCACACACAAAGCGCTTCATTCTTACTGATGATTGTGCTGAGGTTTATGTGTGTCTGTGAGACTCTCAGTAATAACAGCATACTCTGTGGGTACAAGGATTGTATATGAGCCGTGTATACAGGGAGTATACGGTGGTTATATTTTGCATTCCCTGCTTCCTCCCCTCCC